GGGGTGGGGGAGGAGGGAGGAGGTGGGGAGGTAGGGAGAGAAGAGATGGTAGGCAAAAAACAAAGGAGGGGGTAACAATGCTTAATAGGAAATGTACTGATTACTCATGTAACTATAACCTCTCTGTACAGTATCTTTGCAATAAAAATATATATTAAAAAAAGAAATACCACTTTTACTGTTTTAGAACATGAAACTGTATTACTCTGCCATCTTAAAGATAGGAACTTAAGAATCCAGAATTGTTACTAAGAAACTTAGTTATGTACCCTCAAGTTAATCAGCGGTGTTTTTAGTCATTTTTCCCATGGAGGCAACAGCTATTGTCATTTCCACCATGCCAGTCCTCTGTTGCTTCTACTGTGCCAGAGATTGTAGCTCAAATAATGAAAATATTACTAATAATCATAAAGTTTGATTATTGTCCAGGAGGACTAGATATTCCTGCATTTGGGCTCCTCACACCTTTTTTATATGTGTGTTCCAAGTTGTCCCCAATAATAAGGAATATTGTGGGTAATAGTGTGGTATTTGTTGTCTTATATAAAGATTTGACTGATTAATTTCTTTGCCTTTATTCAGGGAAGAACTGCTAAAGCATTGAGGTCACTGCAGTTTACCAACCCAGGGAAGCAAACTGAATTTGCTCCAGAAACTGGGAAAAGAGAAAAAAGGAGACTTACAAAGAGTTCAACTGCTGGTTCAGACAGGTATGTTACTAACATGTGGATTTGCTGTTTCACATCTGTATTGATCCATTATCTGCCTTGTACAGTTTGAATGTTCTGAGTAGACATCTTTGATTGGGAAATGTATAATTAATAAAAACCTCCAAAGGCCTTCAGTACTAATTATGTACGCTTTATAAGGCATCTCTTTCAACTCTACAGGCTTGTTTCAAGAATGTTGAAATGAAAGGAAGAAGACAGTATATTTTGGCATTAGAGTTAAAATTATTGAAAGGTATATACCTTAAAATTAAAATAATTCACTTTATGAAAAACAGTATATTGTTGGTATGTCTCTGTTCCCTGGGTGGCAATTGTAAGTAAACGTTATGACAATTCAAGATTGCTTTTTATGTTTTACATATATTCTAGTATATTAGACACAAAGAATGAGAAAACTAAATCCTTAAAATACGATGTTAGGTCCAGGAGCTTTGCTAAAGTTGAAGCTCTGAGTTCAAAACCCCTTACCACACATAACACAAGCACGTACACACGCACCCCACACACCTTGAGCATTTCTATAAACAAATAATATAATACATTCAACATTTGTGCATATGCCATTTTCCATTGACTAATTTGAATATTTTTAGTCCAAACTTAGAAGCAATTAAAGAAATAGATCAATTATAGTTTAAAAAACTTACAAAGTAGTATTATACTCTAATGGCAATTACTTTTCAAAGGCAGTGAAGGGATTGGTGACCTATTGGGACAAAGTCCTTTTCTTGGTTGACTCTTAGATCAACTTCAAGAGATGTTTTCAGGTTTTTAGGATTTCTCTTAATACTTAGAATTAGGTTGACTCTCCTCCTATGGAGTTCATTCATTGAACGTCAATGCTCTGAGCCTGATATATTATGTACCACTTCAGCAAAACTTCATCCCTAATTCAAAATATTTTATCTTCTTAAATTTTTATGACCTTATTTTTAATTAGATATTTAAAGATGATGTATTTCTGAGATGGACTTCATTGTGTGTTATTTTATAGACAAGTGATACCAGCGAAGAGTAAGGTCTACGATAGCCAAGGCCTCCTGATTTTCAGTGGGATGGACCTCTGTGACTGCCTGGATGAAGACTGCCTAGGATGTTTCTACGCGTGCCCCGCCTGTGGCTCCACCAAATGTGGGGCTGAATGCCGCTGTGACCGCAAGTGGCTCTACGAGCAAATAGAAATCGAAGGAGGAGAGATCATTCATAATAAACATGCTGGATAATGTGTAGTGTCAAACGTACGGGTTCTTTCAAGGTCCTCCATTTCTAAAATTCTGTCACTCAGATTGTCAAAGATGCAAAAGCCACCTCAGTATGTACTAGTATAGTAGTGTTTTATGTGCTTCAATGTAAATTTAGAGAAGTCATTTCTTAGCATTCAGCCGTAAGCCTGAGTTAATGTAACCAGTGGGTTTGCATGTTTCCCTACCAACACTGAGGAAAAGGGTACCTGTGCCCCTAGGGTGGGAATAGACTTTCACATTAAAGGGTGTTTACTGTGAGTACAGAAATACTTCACAGCATTGAAAGCACAAACAATTGTATAAAGTATTAATGTTTTGACAGGTAATTAAAAGCCATGGAACAGTTTCCTTCATTGATTATTATGATTGCTTTACATGGCCATTTTTTTGGTCCCCTGCATAGCTGGGCACAAAACAAATTGATTTGATATAGCTGCCTAGGTGAATGTTAAACTATTTTGGAAATTAAGTGCTTAGATATATTTTTCTTCAATAAAAATATTTTACTACTGCAAACCATTATGTACTCTTTGTGGAAATTTGTCCTTACAAAAAAGTTCTATGTAAGTACAAAGCCATGCAATGCATACATAAATGGATATAGATTGCATCTATGATATTAAAATTAATACGGGATAATAGAATAGGATTGAGTATAAAATATGTTCCTTTTTAGATCAGAGCCAGTGGCTCATGCCGCTTAATGCTAGCTGCCCAGGGGGATGAGATTCAGAGGGTGGAGACTCAGAGCCAGCCCCTTGCAGAAGAATCCTAGAAACAGAAAAGTCTCCACAACAACCAGCAAAAAGCCAGGCTGATGATGTAGAGCCATAAGCAAGCAATCTGAGAGAGCCTGAGGCTTTGTGTTCAAACCCTGGTAACATTTTTTTTAAAAATCCTTATCAGAGTGATAATAAAAAAACAGATGGAGAAACACAAACACTGGTTACACATAAAATGTTGATGCATTTTTTGTAAAGTATAAAGAATTTAGATGAGGGAATGGTATCATTTTACTTTTTTTTTAGAGATCTGCCTGCCATAGACTATTACCATTACCATTTTGTTTCCTTTAAATATAATTCTTTAGTTAATTAAGTAAAACTTTGAGTAATTTGAAACATAGCTTTTAAAACTAAATTTATAGTGAGTTTGACTTGACCAGTGAAGAAAAGTTTTTGCATTTGTTTTGCATTTGTTTATTTTTATGTTTGGTGTGTAATTTTACTTCAGTAGAATGCAATTTTCAACTTTAAAATTGAATGTGACCTTTTTTTGGTGCTCATACTTCAACTTGAATTCAGCACTTGGGCGCTGTCCCAGAACTGTCTTCCTCAGAGCTAGTGCACTATTACTGAGGCACAACTCCACTTCTAGCTTTTTGGTAATTAATTAGAGATAAGTGTCTCATGGACTTTTCTGCCAGGGCTGGCTTCAATGATCCTCGGATCTCAGCTTCGTGAGAAGCTATGATTGCAGGAATGACCCACTTGACACCTGGCCTTAAACGTGATTTTTCTTTGGCCTGGTTTTTAGAAGTCCAGTTGCCTTATCAGTTCTTTCATCTGTATTTCAGCTGAGCACTAGTAAAGATATGTTAACTTCATATACTTAAATTCAAATCACATGCTTGATTGGTTACTTTTTCGGAATTAAAGCAATAGTTTGTTATAGGAATTACACACTCCAATTAGATCTGAACTTTCTGGATCATCAGATCTTAGTTAACATTTTTTTCTTTTGCATTTAAGTTTGAATTAGAACATTGTGTATGTTCTTCAGAGGAATCAATTAAAAGAAGAAGAATTGGTTGAGTTCTTATACCTCCCACTTGTCAATCCTAGCTATTCAGGAGGCTGAGACCTCAAGGATCAAGTTTCAAAGCCAGCCCAGACAGCAAAGTGAAACATCTATTAGCCATTTGGTCTGGAGGTGTGGCTTAAATGGCAGTATGGCAGTCATGAGCTAGCCAGGGCAAGGCCCCTGAATTCAAGTTCCCAGTACTAGTAATTAAGAAAATAAATAAAACTGAACTGTTTCTTGTTGCTACAAATAAGAATAACTTCTGGTGGCTTCAAATTTTTAAATGGCTACATTTTAGCATGGTCTAGATCCGTGGTTTTGTTTTTTCAAGAGTAAGAACTTTGCATAATTTTTCTGATATTCTTTGTGCCCATGCAGGGCACTGACCTACATGCAGAATGTTCACAGAGGTATAGCTGATGCAGAGTGGGCTGTTATTAAAGGCCGCATTTTAAGAAAATACAGGTTAACTTGCTATTTTTAATAGAAAATACAGTGATGTCACTTACATCCTCTTTGTTTTTTGTGAATATTCAAAGTGGCTAAATTATTTCCAAATTTTACTAAACTCAAAATTAGATAATGGTTATACAAACCCTTCTGGTTTGTGATAATCATATTAAGAAGTTAAATAAGGCCACTAACATTGGTCTTGTAAAATATTAATTACAGATGTTAGAAAGGCATGTAAATAGATGTCATCCATCTGACTTATAAATACAAATAAAGAAATAGCTATTTACCTTTGAAATACCATGCATAGGATCCTTTAAAAAAAGTCATATCTAATTCTGTATAATGAGCTGTTCTGCAACCTGACAGTCTTCTAAAACTTTTTTCCTGGCTTGTAGGCAAGCAAGGAATTTTTAGTGAATAAATTTTGAAATGTGCACATAAAGGTACATATATGTGATTCATTAATAAAAAGTAGAAAATTAGTAAGTTTTCATATTCTTTTTAGAGGTCAAGACCCGTGAGGAAAAAATATCTCCCCAGAGATACTCTATATAGAGAACCCCTGAACATGTATTGGAATGCCTGGGTAAAATGAAATATTCTGTTAAAGTCAAGATTCCTGTCTGAAGTGTAGTTTGGTAATATAATAGTGAAGCAGATTTTTTATTGTAACAAAGTGGAGTAGTTTTAGTCCATCAAAAATTTGTACTGTAGTCAGGCGCCAGGGGCTCACACCTGTAATCCTAGCTACTCAGGAGGCTGAGATCTGAGAATCATCGTTCAAAGCCAGCCCAGGTAAACCACCAGAAAACTGGAAGTGGCTCAAGTGGTAGAGCATTGGCCTTGAGCTGAAAAGCTCAGGGAAAGTGTCCAGGCCCAGAGTTCAAGCCCTACGACAGACAAAAATAAAAATAAATTGTTCTATTAGGAAAAATCAGATGTCACCGTGACTTCTCACATCCCTCTTACATGATGTGAAAAACAAAGATTTCTTGACTGAATTAGGTAATTAGAGATTTCCCCTTGCAATATGGTTATCTTGCTAGAAACAGCTTAACATGGTCGTGCAAAATTCTAGTGACACCTTAGCTTTTGCTGACATCTGCTGGTCTTTCATGAACATAAACTTTTTGCTGCTCCAACTTGTGCTGATCTCTTCATTTCTAAATTAAACAATGGACATGTAATCATATAATAGACTCCAGTGAGTGAAAAAAAAATCCTGAAAGTAAAATAGCTTTTCTTTGCATCATTCTTAAAGTCTTGCCTTGCAGCAGGCAACTATATAAGTTTTATTTTTTTAAGAACATGAGTGAGCCGACATGAGAAATTCTAGATTTATTTTGACTTAGAAAGTGGAAAGTGGAGCTACTTGGGGAGATAATGCTTTTTTTTTTTTTAAAGTCAAACATCTTCAACACTTTTTGTTTGAAAGGTGTACTGTAGAGTTTAATATAATTCTCAATGACATTGTGAGGATTGTCTAATTTTATAAAGATAATTTAACTTTCAGAAAATGAAGGTAATGTAACAGATAAAGCAGATGCTTATCTCAATTGGAAGAGCATTCCATCTTTAAATGCAAAACATATTTGAAAGAAATTTAAATTTTATACATTTAAATTTATAGTATTTTGTTATAGTCCTGTGCAGTGGCACAACTCCAGTATGTTGTTCTATTCTCCTTTGAGGTGATGAAGTATTTCTTTGTTACACAATGATCAGCAACTATGTATCATACAACAAGTCTCTTAGCTCCCTCTCACCATAAGAAGTACTTACATCATCAGTTTATACAATGAAAAGGTCTATTTTGCCTAGTTTGGAGGTTTCCGTCTATCATTGATTAGCCCTAGGCCTGTGGCAAAGCAGCACATAATATGAAATAAAACTTGGATTTTACAATTATATAGGATGATCATTTCCTCTTCACATGTGACTGTCCACCAAATATTAACAAAGGTCAAAGATAGAATGGTGGTTTAATGCCCTAGGGAACTTCCATATATTTTAAGAAAAAGAAGCAGCTGTGACCCATTGTCACATCTTTATTCCTACTCTCCTTGTAGTCTTCTCATAGAGTTCTCATGGACCTTAAGACAACCTCCTTTTCACAAACACAGGATGGCCAGTGGTAATTTGACCTAAGACACTAATCACTATCAGCTTTTTGTTGTTTTTATTGTCAATACTTGGTAGTAAAGGTCTTCATATTTGAAAGTGTTTGAATACTTGAAGCATTCCCTTGATAATCTTACCTCATACCTAGAACTCAGTCCTAAGTCAAATGAACAGAAAACTATAATAGCACCATCTGAATTAATTAACTTGCCAAGCAGTTAAAGGTGTATCACCAGCTCATCTTTGTGATTTATAGGATAGTGCTAGCCAAGTTACATTTGAGCATTATCTGCTCATGTTCTCCTCCCTGTCTTTACAGGACACCGAAATCTGTGATGTTGCCAAGTAGAATGTGACACTGTGGCTCCCAATGAATGAGAATTCAGCAAAGTTCAGTATTTTATACATGTCATTTCCAGTACTAAAATTGCTAAAAAGTCAAGTGCATAGTGACTTTCTCATATTTGATAGTATTTTAGAGAGCTGGATATTTTCATCATTTATAGCAGTGTTTAGATGTTTTCATTTCTTCTTAATTTTTTTAAATTTTAATTGTTTTTTATTGTGAAAATACTGTACAAAGGGATTACAGTTACACAAGCA